TTTGTGGCATCAGAGCAGTTTTGTTAGGGAACTCTGATAATGTGTAGCTGTGTTATATGTTGCATAGTTGTATGTAGATTCTTATCGATTACTGCATATGTGATTCCTTAGTGTGGGTCTGATCAACCCATTCCTTTGTGTTACATGTGTGGTCATTGTAAGAAGCCTGCGTGGCAACCCTGGAACACCGAATGTAGGTCCTTAGCCTGATGTTGTGGCTGTAGTGTTGACTGCTCCATGGACAAGAGATGGCGTTAAGAAAAATATGAATATTAGAGGACTTAAGAAAAATAAACTTAAATGTTTTGTCTGACCTTTTTGGTGAAAACTACAAAGTTGTATCATAAGTAAAAATTGTAAACAAACCTATGATATGTACAGTATTAGCACAGGCGAAATTGTAGTATTGTGGATAATAAATATATATTTGAGAGGAGTTTATAGTATGAAGATGGTATTAGGAAAATTCCTACGTATTGGTGTAGTGTAGTACAATAATTATGTGCAGGTGGACTTGGGGAATGGACTTCATTAAGGTGAGTAACTTAGAACCTGATGGATTATTGAAAAATGTGAACATGTATGCTTAGGTGTGAGTTTGAATATTTTATGTTTGATTAGAAGTTATTAGTCTCTGATAGATGGTGTACACTAGAATAAATTAGGATGATTAATGTAGAGAAATAAATGGAATATTTGATGTCTAATCCTAAGGAATTGGACCACTTGAAATTATTATGCTAGTGAAGTGTTAATTGAGAGGTATTGAATTATGGGATTTAAATCTATAAGGAGGTAGTGTTGATTAAATATAGGTGAGATGAATCAATTATGTATTATTGAATAGGGAAGAAGTCGAGAGAATCGCCATGGATGATATAAGATAAATGTACAATGAAGGCACTATTGTGGTTAATGAACGTCGATTCAAATTGAAAGACTTGTCAAGGATAAAATGAATAGGATGGTTGAATTGCATAATCATATGTAAGATAGCAAGGAGAATTGTAAAGAAATTATGATCTAGTGATCTGTATATATATACTGCTAATAGTAGTATGCTTGTGAAATCATTTAGTATTTAATGTGGATTGATAGACGGAGTGGAGGCATTTTCAATGTAATAAATATTCTACAACCACCAATGGTGGAAGTGAGCAGGGAAAAGTTGATCAGTTGCTTTACAATATGTAGTATAGGTCTATGTGAGCCGTAGCAGGAAATGGATTAGAACAATGATAGAATTTTGTGGGTTATTATTGTACAACAATAAGGTGAGATGGTATGATTAGTGAATGAGCTTATGTATAACTAAATGTGAAATCATGTGATTAGTGTATGAACTAAGTTGCACTAGAGTGCAAAATTAAGTGGTTAGCAAAAGAACTGATGTGTAAAATGTGCATGGAGTGTGGAATTAAGTAGTTAGCGAAAGAACTAATATGTAAAGATGAAAATGATAAGATTAGCTAATGAGCTGAGGTAATTTCCAGATGAGGTAATTTTCAGTGCAAGGACTGACGTGTAAATTCAGTGCAAGAAATGAGGTATAATTATCAGTGTAAGCGCCGATGAACAATTATTAGTGCAAGGACAGTTGGGTTTAGAAAGCCTCTGTGTGATGACAATTATCTGTGGAAATATGATACATTATATTAAGAGATGTGAGAGGTGGACAAAACCTTGAGAAAAATTCCGGAGTAATGGAATAGAGATTATGTTATGAACCATATCAGGTGACTAGTCAAAGTAAAAGAGTAAACAATCTTTGAGAAGAATAATCAAGGAAGAAATAGTGCACCATACGTATATGTGATATGATTATTATACTACTACTACTAGGATTATGGGGCTAACCCCAGGTGGGTATACAAAAACACTTTTGCCGTTATATACGGGTAAGATACAGACACCAAATGGACCGGGTCCATGTGTGATATGGAGTGTACGGGGTACTAGTTTTGCTGTTAGATACAGATATGTTATAAGTATGAATTCCCCTGTGTACTGGGTACACGTTTGCTGTTATATACAGATATTTTATAAATATGAATTCCTCTGTGCACTGGGTGCATGTTATAAGACTTGATATTACTATCTCTGTGCGGCTTATGTGCCCGGAGTGTATGGCTATCTCCGTGCAGATTATGTTCCCGGAGACTGTTATTATTGTATATGAGTAATATGAGATGAGGAAGTATTCCACATTGATGGGACTGCTAGTATAGTTGAGGTGTTTTATATAAATGCACAATTAAGAAACATTAGGGGATGTGTGTATTTGTACACCAGGAGTGGTGACATGAATTTTGGGTCCCACAGAAAGTGTGAAGTTACTGGGAATTCTTGCCCTATGATTAAGAATAGCAGCTGGTTAATACTGATGAATTGAGTGAATGTATGTTAGAAGGAACTAATGAGGAAGAAGTATGGAGTTAAGATGGTGGCCTGAGGGCCTTTCATAAGAAGTTAGTTGTGATGGAATTAGGTGAAAATGTTAATAAGGACCAGTGACTTAAATCTAGTGATTAAAGAAAGGTTGATAACTCGATGGATTGATTTGGAGCACGGTATGCGATACATGCTAAGTGAGAGATATATATCCTTGGGAGATACACGGTATTGATAAAATTTTTGAAAATTGTTTAAGGATGAAAGTAGTGCCAGGTGATAAAACGATTGTGTTTGGAGATTACCAATATGAGGAGACTTATATGTGAGGGTTATGATACAGTGTTCTAAGAGGGACATCCATGATAAAAAGTGACGATAATGAGGAAATGGAGGTATAAAGGAATGAAAAAGATGTTGAATCTATAATATTGTTACAGAATGATGAGAAAAAAAAATGGTTAGTTGTTGAAAATATTAAGCGTAAGACCTTTGATGCGGAAGTCATTGAGGGATTTTGTGTTAGACTTGGAGATGACTGAATTGATAGATAGACGAACAGTGGGTGAAAAATTTTGATGTGACGTATAGGTGGAAAATTTCATGAGTGGGTTTGTGGTTGAAGGACCTTGAATGGCTAATCAGAAATACAAACTATTATGAGGGTTGTTAGTTTCGGATCACAAAGAGAAAGATATGGCTGTGATTACCTAAGAAGAAGCGAAGACACGTGGCAAAGTAAAATAAAGTATATAAGTATGGAGATTAATATGAGTCAGAATGATAGGATACATCAAAGTGCCATGAGAACTAGAAAGTATGTGCTTGTGTGAAAGCTAAGGAAGCAACGCAATGGTAAGATCAGTAACAGTAATGAAAAGGACTGTTATATTGGGGTATTGATGAAACAGTAGGGACAACGAAAAGATTGAAGAACTAAAGAAAGTGTGAGTTGGAAATATTCCAGGAATAATCAGTAAATATACATGAGAACGGTTAGAGGCTATTATGAAAACAGTTATAGGCTTTTGGGGAATGACCTTGGGTCAGAAAGATAGATAAAGACGAGAATGAGATGAAAGGGGACAGACAAATTGTAATGTGTTTATGTATTACCTATAAATTAGTGAAAGTGCAACCGTGAACCATGGAAAGCTTAAGCATTGTGAATTAAAGGTCATAGCACCACAATAGACAAGTATTGTGAAGGATTGGGGAACAGAAGATACTGCAAAAAAGGGGTTATGTCTGTGACGAAAGTAAAAGTGTAAAGACGTACACCTGAGAAGGCTACTTGGGAACGGGAGGATGAGATTCTCTGGCTGTATCCTGAGCTAGAAGACAGGTATGATTTAATTTTGCGGAAAAAATTCTAAAAGTTGGGGTGAATATAACACCTCACAATTTTTAAGTTTAAATATTAAGATGTTAATCAAAGAAAAAAATAAAAATAAAAGAAGTGAGGTGCTTGTCGTGCTTAATTGTTGTCGTGCTTAATCCTTGTCGTGTTTAGACAAATCCTTGTCGTGCTTAGAATCATTGTCATGCGTAAACATATGACCGCCTATAGCTTTACTTCTTTCTTCCTACGGCCAAGGAAACATAAAACAATCAAAGGAATTAAATAAGCATAGAAATCAAGTGGCTTGGCGGTGGAACAAAAGCAAACATTAAACAAATAGAATTCTGATTTTTGGTGAAACAATCAAGTCGGTAGGTTGGCCTTTACTTCAAAGGAAGGTAAGCTCCTTAGTGTGATGCATCAAGTCGGCACGTTAGCAAGAGGTGGAAATCAAAGGAAAGAAATAAGGAAATGTTAAGTGAATTGATACAACAAAGCCGGTTCCTTGTGTCTTTCCAAGCGGTGACTAAAAGAAGAATAAAGAAAAAGAAAGGTCCAATTGAAACATCATAGTCGGTCCCTTCTTCTCTCTATCCAACACATGACCGCCTCTTGCCTTCCCTTCATCCTTGCGATCAAACAAGGAAACCTCAAGCAGCTCAATTCTTTAAGGCAATACAAAAAAGGGAACTAAGACACAAGCCTTGTGATTCTAGTCGGTTGGCTTTTTTTTTTTTAGATATCAAGCAGCTGAATTTCTTTTCTAAACCGTGCAACTAAGGAGACATCAAGGAGCTCAATCCTTTACTCTAAACCGTAGCAGCCCAAGGGAGTTAAGAGGAGCTAGTGAGTATTTTCTTGTCCCTAAAATGCTTAATACTTTGAGAAAAAGAATCCTTGTGTTCTTGTGGTCATAACCTTGTATTTTCTTCTTTTGATAAGTGGTAAAAGATGAGTTTCCAAGCATGTATTGTGCGCACCATGGGGCTGACTTTGGATGAAGTTTCATTTAAATATGTTATGGATTGATGGTTGATGAATCCCTTGGATTGAAGTACAAAAACATGGTTATATTTGAAAGAAAATCATGGACTTTGAAATAGGTCAATTCGGCCAAGAGGAGAAAATTGTGTAAACAGTGTGTTAATAAAATTCTAGGTGGAAGTGGATGTTGGTTTCTATAAGTTTTAATGATGTTTGAGACGTTTTTCGTATTCTGACAGAATTGCCGTGTATTGACGATTCCTACATGGTTGTTGTAGGTTACCGTACGTTGATTTGAACCTCATAATACCACTTCTCAAAATCCTCATAAACGGAAAATGGACACTTTTTGCATGACTTGTACCACCAGTTGTATTTGCTCTCAATTGCCTTTATAGTCCCGTATGTGATACAGGTAGTTACCTTAATTAAAGCAATCGCAGTTTAACATAAAATATCATCAATACAAAATTGACAGAATTAAAGGAAAATAAAAATTAAAGAAAAGTAAAAATAAAATTTGAACATTTACCTCAACACAAAGTTTCACATCACTGATAGACTTTTTTTCAGTCTCCTTAAGAAAATCATTTTCGAAAGAATAGGATGACTGAGTAGACAATTGAGTCATCCTTGTACTACTTTCCACACCATCAATCGAGAGACTATAACGCAAAAATTAATAATTAAAAAATCAAAAAAATATGAAAATCCATTAATCAATAACCGAATAAATGAGCTGAAGAAAGAAGGTACACACCGTTTTTTGAACTCAACAATCTCATTCAGTTTTGAATCCATTACAATCCTTGTTGTATATTTTGTATTTGTTATCCCGACCTTACCTATTGAGTTAAAAGGTTCAGATAAACATTGAATACAGAAGCAACATTAATTAAAATAACGTGCATAAAAACTGATTATAAAAGCAAAAATTAAAACAACGTTGTTTGGAAAAAACATACCTCTAAAACACTTAATCCTTCCCAGTTGGACTATCAGGACGTTATGAGGATCGTCGTTGTCTGCCAAAAAAGATTGGACCTCATCCACATAATGCTCCCACAAAGTGCACTCCAACTTATGACCCCTACACGTGAGTTGTAGCAAGCACAACGTTAATACGCGTAAAATATAAGCTAACAGAGCTGGACAAAAATAATTCATTTAACTAAACATTTGTAAGTACCTCAGGTCGTCAAGCTCCAACACCACCATTTTTGTCTTCCTACCAGAAACCACACGATCACAAACTTTCCCAATTCCTGAGATTAAACCAATGACGTCTACAAAAAAAAAAGCAGCAAAGAGTTTGTGAAAAAAATTATGCAATAATAAAAAACGAATACAGAAACATAAAAAACACAGTTAATGAAAAAAATAATGATACAGAATAAGATTACTCGTGACAAAACATTAAAAACACAAAACTATAACCGCAAAGAGTTTAAAAATAAGGAAATAGTTATGATACAGAATAAACCAATGACGTTTAAAAATTAAAAAAAGGCAGTAAAGAGTATGGGAAAAAAATAAAACCCGCAATAATTAAAAAAGGATAACAGTGAGGAAGAATCTATTACCGACTAAATAAGGGGAGTCAGACGTTTCTTTCTCAATGATGTTATAATCAACAAAATCAAAATCACTCGCACAAATATCAGAAACAACAGTCCTCAAGTTGAAAGACAAACGATACTGATGCTTGGTTGGCCTAAACACATCGCTATTGAATCCAACTCCAAATTTTTTTATAAAATAGCACTCTCCTTCGTTGATTTTATTCCGCTCCTGCAAGGTACCTTTGACAGTGGCGTGGATCCTACCACCCTTCAAAAGAATGGAGCCAACTTATGTCAACAACGTTAACTAAAATGATCAAAACAAAGATGGAAGATTTTTAAAACACAGAACACAACTTGTTCATCCAATAAAACCATTTCAAGATTGTCCTCCAAATTTTTACGCTGAAAGTTAGGAACTTTCCAAGTCCGAACCACCTTCACCTTAATCCTCCAGTCCTCCTTGGCAGGATTAACATCCTTCAGAAAATCATATTTTGAACTCATATTTTGTGTAAGAAGAAAAAACAGAGAAGCAATCACCGACGTTGAAGAATAATGCGTATCAGGAATTGTATAAATGAGAGTGATTTATAGTTTTTGAATTGTCTTCTTTAAAAAATGTGAAGTTTTTGAATTAAACTGAATAAAGATTTAAAAACAAAGATAACGACAAAAGAGTGATTCAGTAGTTATAAATGAGATTTTCATGGAATAAAACAGTCATTTCTTTTAATAACAATGAATATCCCATTTTTTTTTTCAAAAAACGTAAAAATTTGAATTAAATTCAATAAAGGTTAAAAAAAAAGATTAGATTACATGATAACCATCAATTATTTAAAAAACAAAGATGACGACAAAAGAGTGATTCAGTAGTTATAAATGAGATTTTTATGGAATAAAACAGAAGTTTTTTCTAATAACAAAACACTCATACCTGATTCCACTGAATCAAGAGGTTAATAAAAGATTCAAATTTAAAAATCTGAAAATAAGGAACAAAGGTCGGGATATGTATAATTTTTTTTTTTTTACTAATTAATTTTTTTTCGAGTAAATAGAGTTGTATTCTTTAAAAAATGTAAAGTTTTTGAATTAAACTGAATAAAGATTTTAAAAACAAAGATAACGACAAAGAGTGATTTAGTAGTTATAAATCAATGAATATCCCGTTTTTTTAACAGTCATTTCATGGAATAAAACAGTCATTTGTTTTAATAACAATGAATATCCTGTTTTTTTTTTCAAAAAACGTAAAGATTTGAATTAAACTGAATAAAGGTTAAAAAAACGATTAGATTACATGATCAACATCAATTATTTAAAAAACAAAGATGACGACAAAAGAGTGATTCAGTAGTTATAAATGAGATTTTCATGGAATAAAACAGTCATTTGTTTTAATAACAATGAAGATCCCTTTTTTTTTCAAAAAACGTAAAGATTTGAATTAAACTGAATAAAGGTTAAAAAAACGATTAGATTACATGATCAACATCAATTATTTAAAAAACAAAGATGACGACAAAAAAATGATTTAGTAGTTATAAATGAGATTTTCATGGAATAAAACAGAAGTTTTTTCTAATAACAAAACACTCATACCTGATTCCACTGAATCAAGAGGTTAATAAAAAATTCAAATTTAAAAATATGAAAATAAGGAACAAAGGTCGGGATATGTATAATTATTTTTTTTTTACTAATTAATTTTTTTTCGAGTAAATAGAATTGTATTCTTTAAAAAATGTGAAGTTTTTGAATTAAACTGAATAAAGATTTAAAAAACAAAGATAACGACAAAGAGTGATTAAATAGTTATAAATCAATGAATATCCCGTTTTTTAACAGTCATTTCATGGAATAAAACAGTCATTTGTTGTTATCAAAAAAAAAAAAACAGTCATTTGTTTTAATAACAATGAATATCCTGTTTTTTTTTTCAAAAAACGTAAAGATTTGAATTAAACTGAATAAAGGTTAAAAAAAGCGATTAGATTACATGATCAACATCAATTATTTAAAAAACAAAGATGACGACAAAGAGTGATTTAGTAGTTATAAATCAATGAATAAGAAATCTTGACCATTGATTTAAAGTAACAAATCCTGTCAATTGAAAATATAATTCTTTTTTGTATTTATTATATTCACCGATTTACCATTAAAGGAAACTTTTTTAAATGTTGTAGTGTGAACACATTGGTGAAATTGAACCACAGTGCGACACGTCAACAAGGTTTCCACAGAATGGAATTCCTTTATAATATAAGATATATATATATGAGGTTATTCAATGTAGATAGCTGTTTATTTGTAATTACATACAGACAATGTTTTAAAAAGATTAAATAATCAACTTGGTAATTGTTAATGACGTCATAATTGAATAGAAAAGTTTATTCCGCATTTTAATTAAGCGTGGCTTAATACGATGATAACAAACCGGGTATATACGAGGTGTTATATATTCTACAACTATCACACTAATGGTGTGTTCAATTATAATTATTCCCCTAATTATTTTTAGAGTCCTATATAAGGATATATCTTAGATGAAAAAAATGGTACTTGGTGAATTTAGAATATAATATTATTTTTTTACCTTCAAGAGCTCATACTTGTTCTTATCTTATTCTTTCTTTGATTTTATTTTTACATTTCATTTTCCTTTATTTCATATTTCACGTTCTCTTGTATTCTCCATCAAATTTCAACAATTTTTACTTATGTCATTTTTATAATTTATTTTTATATTTCTAAATATTTAAATTTATATAATTTTTGATTTTTTAAATAATGAAAATTTTGATGAAGAAATTTTTTTGGCTCGCAAGTCAACCCTAACCCACCCTGCTAAATTATAGGATTTTGAGAATTAGAGCTAAAAATAAGTACCTACCAGTAAAAGATCCAAATGGGTTAGCACCAATTATTTTGTCACCTCTACCCCGAATGACATCTCAATGACATTGGTTGTGATTAAAGGGAATCTTTGGAATATCCTCCATTGGTTCTGTTTGCTGCTGCAAGCTTAAACTCTTATTCAAAGAGATGAAGTATAAGAGAGAAGATGAGGTACAGAAACACATTCGTCTGAGCTAAGGTAGTACAGGTTTCAATTTAAAGGGTTCAATGCAAGGATTCTAATGCTAGTGCTCAAAGATGACAATTGAAAAATGATTTTCCCTTACTTGTGGTTTGGCTGATAATGGATGTCTAAATAAAAAAACCACTAGTCAACTTGTGACGATTAATGGCGTAACTAGAAAAAAAAATTGAAAGGGAACGACACTATTTAAAGGGGACAAACGCCCCGGCTAACCCCTCGATCAGTTGCTCCACCAAATGTTCGGAGTAGGTTCAATTCATTTTAACCAACACTTGTATTCTGAAAGCGAGTGTTAAATTGAGATTTTCAACCCAACTTAACATGCGTGGTGGATTAAATCGGTGGATCGAACGGTACGTATTCGTTTTGCCTGCTAGTAACTAGTAGTATTTTTTAATCAATAAATTTCTTCTTGCTGGTTATCTTTAAAGATTAAAATCAGTTTTTTATAGAAAAAGAAAAATCAATTCTCCAAGTAGACCAGTAGAGTTTGATAATAAATCAGAAGTTCTTTGTCACAAAGAATTTAAATTTCAATGTCATTTACAAAAAAACAATATATAAAAAAACTAACCAAGACTAGTCTAACAAAACATCTAAAAGAATATAAATACAATCTAACTGATATTTTTTCCTCTATTTTGAGGTATCTTCTTGTGAAAATTTGAATGCTTCTTGACGTCAAAAGTTGGACTTGCAGCAGGTCTATACTCTGGTAACAACCTTCCTAACTTGTATCGCAAACCACAGGCATTGCATAAAGTATTTCGCCCCAAAGGACCAGCCCTCCATTGAGAAGTATGTTTGCTCTCACAATGACTACAACTTTTCTCCGTAATAATATTACTTTGATTTGGCTTTGAATCCTGATAATCTACCCCAGATTTAGACGGTAACCATAATCCGCCAAATATAAGTATCCGTCTTCTTCTAGATTTTTTTGTTCTAGGCTGCTTCGGAACAAAACTTGACTTCTTTTGACTATTAGGGTTGATTTGGATATTTGACGAATCAGCAAACAAAATTTGTTGTGTTTTTTCCTTGCCAGGTTGCTGGAATTTAGACTTTGTTTCCAAATTTTCTTCTCCATCAGTGTCAATGAACTGGGAATTATTCTTCAGATTTAAACCAAATTTCAAGTCTTCTTCATATAAACTAGGGTTGATTTGCATATTTGACAAAGCAGACAACAAATTTGGATGTGTTTTTTCCTTGCCTGGTTTCTCGAATTTAGCCTTTGTTTCAAAATTTTCTTCTCCATCGGTGTCAATGAACTCGGAATTATTCTTCTGGTTTGAACCAAAGTCCAAGTCTTCGTATAAATTAGGGTTGATCTGAATATTTGACAAATCAGAAGACAAATTTTGTTGTGTTTTTCCCTTACCTGGTTGCTCCAGTTTAGCCTTTGTTTCGAAACTTTCTTCTACATCAGTGTCAATGAACTTGGAATCATTCTTGAGAATTGAACCAAAGTCCAAGTCTTCATACAGATTAGGGTACCATTCCAAATTTTCTAGAGGGTCTTGTGGGACATCAAGTGGGTCTGCAAAGGAACCATCTTCGGAAGGGGAAAAACCAGACTCGTTCCACAACAGTTCATCAAAGTTACGAACTTCATGGTCCTTATCTTGGGCTAAAGTCATAGTACCGACACTACTTAAAAGAATGAGAGCGTGGACAACAAGAAACAAAACGCACACCATGGATAATCGGTTGCTGTCGAATAATTGATTTATATAACCTTCGAAAATTAAAATTGAATTCCGAAAATGCTGCTTCTTTTGGATATATTTTATCATTTTGTTGTATATCTCAATATATTCGGCCTTTAATTTTAGAAAAACTGTGTATTGTTTTTTTTCTCTCTCTCTGATCTTATCCATTATTTTCAGTATTTGGGATTTTTAGCTTTTTGAGGGATTTATATCTTGATTAACCACTAAAATATTATTAAATCTTCATTTTAACATTAAAACAATAATTTAGGTTTTTTGGGCTTAGTTTGCTCGAATATTTTCCTCTGGCCTATCAAATTTAGAATTCAATCAAATCTATGTGGATTTCGTAAACATGCATATGGTTTGTTGTGGGACAATAGTAGTGTAGGTTAACGAGATCACGAAAATTATGCAAATATATCATGTGATTGGTGTTTGTCCTTTTAAAAGTTATAAAATTATGTCATTTTAAATGAATGAAAGATATACACAATGAAAATGGCTTTTTGACTCTTTTGCCCTTCATTAATTAATTAATAATCATTTTGCCTCTTATCCGAAACTATCTATCAATCTGCCCCTCTTTAATCGATTAACTTGAAGATTTAATCGATTAAATGGTCAAAACTGACAAAAATGGTTGACTTGAAGATTTAATCAATTAAATATCTCTCTTAATCGATTAAATATCCCTCTTAATTGATTTAATCGATTAAAACTTATACTTAATCGATTAAATATTCCAAATGAGCGTGAAAGCATTGATTGATTGCATTTTGTATTTAATAAGAGTTGAATGTGTTTTGTATTTAATAGGAGCTGATTGCGTTTTATTAGGAGTTGTCATTTTACGGGCTTTTTGACCCTTATGACCCTTAATTAATAATTAATTACCAAATTGCCCTTCATTTAAAACTATTTCGAAAATTTAACCCCCCTCAAAAACATAACACCAATCTGCCCCTGTTTGACCGTTGACCACGAAGCCTACCCGGGTACACCCTTACCTACCCGGGTATTTTTTGAAAATTTTTTGCTACCCGGGTAGAGTTCTTGAATCTGGGAAAATGGTTGAATTATTTACCCGGGTAGGGAGGAGTGTACCCGGGTAAACATCGACGGTAGGGTTTTTAAATACCCCAGCAGCCCCATTTCGAAAACCCACAAAGGGGTACCCAGGTAGAGCTGCTGGAGGTGTGTCTTCTTGAGCGATTTCAGGCATAATCTTGCACCAATTCGTCTTGTTTCTGATCATCATTCGCAGACCTTGCAACTTCTCTTCCTTCTACCGATTGAAATCGATCAAAGGTGCATTTTTTTTTTCGTTTTTTTCAATTCTGTTCTGATTTCTGTTCTGATTCATTGTATTTTCGTTTATATCATTTGATTCTGTCTGAATTATTTTATCAATTTGTATGTAATACCGTTACCCTTACCCTAACCCTAACCCTAACCCTAACCCTAACCCTAAACCCTAAACCCTAACCCTAACCCTAACCCTAACCCTAACATGGATGTATCTAATTTCTGATTTTGGTTATTTTTTCAGTTTAATAGTGTGACGCAATGACCTCTAGACGCGTATCAAAGCTGCAGTGACCCATTCCGAGAGAAGAACCAAGAGTCGTCACGATGGGTCGTCATCCTCTCAGCCCCAGGCTGGTTCGAGTCAGGCTCCGGACTTGACGTTCGGATATTTGTTTGAGGATGACATACTTGCACACGAGACGTTCGTGAAGTTTTTCATGACCCGGAAGATCTGCGAACCGAAATCACTGGATTCAGCATTCTTCAACCTACAGCGTTTCGACATTGTGCCGCTTCTTCAGGAGACACATTTACTTGACCTGGCGGAGATGCGGTGCCCATACTCGGAGGTTATGGTAAGATCCTTCTACCAGAACCTTGGCTACTCGCAAGGCGAGCTGACTTCCCGTGTCTGTGGGATTGATATCATCATGACTGCTCCTATCTGGACGGAGCTACTGGGGTTCGATTTTGATGGTGTCACAGGAGCAGCACTATATGATGGAGACAGCCATCATATATTTGGTGATTATAACCGGGAGGCCATTGTTACAGAGACTAGGAGGGCAGACGCTGAGCCCAGACATTTTGCTCATTATCCTGTGAGCAACTTGTCAGTTTCTGCTCGCATTCTTCATTATGTGGTGACACATATTATTTTCCAGCGCCTGCATAATCACTCGAAGGTGCTGGAAGGGGACTTTGTCATCCTGTGGGCCCTCCTTCACCGTCAGCAGGTGAACTGGAGGCATTATATATGCATACTGATGTGGAAGGCAGCCAAGTCAAAGAAGGCTGAATTGCCTTTTGCATTCCTGGTGCAGAAGATTCTGCATAGATTTGGAGTGCCTATGGCAACAGAGACCTTGAAGACCGCTAGAGGCTGGAATGCTATATTTGGTGAGAGGCTCTTGAAGCAGTGTGGGATCCTGCCGAACAGAGCGGGTATCTGGACGTGGAAGAAGGCACCAGAACCACCTGAGATCCCAGTCCACCACGATGCTGAGATGGAGGATGCACCTGCAGGTGATGTGTTGGTGTTTATGAGTTTATGCATTTTTGTGTTTTTAATGTGGTATTTATAAGATGTACTTTTCATGGTTTATGATGCAGGCCTTGATGATGATGACGATGATGATGGCGTTGCTGAGGTTGATGTCAGACAGACACGTCCCACCCGCAGTCGGCGACCACCAGCTCCTCCTGAGGGTGGATGGACACTTGATCATGTCATGGCATCCATATATGATCTGACTACTGACTTTAGAGGATATAGACAAAGCACGAGCAAGTGACGGAACCAGATGGACACAAGGGTTGCACGGTTGGACACAAGGGTTACACGCTTGGAGGGTTTAGTTGGCGCGGGTGCCCATACTCAGGAGGAGGAGGATGATGACAATAGGGACGACACGCAATCGGATGATGAGAATGGGGATGACACGCAATCGGATTAGTGTGTCCATAGGGTTTCATATCATTGATTTAGTTGGCTAGGGTGACCATTTTGGATGTAATGTAGTCATTTTGGTACATTTAGGAACTTTACCTACATTGCATGGATCTTTTTGTACTGGATGTTCAATATTTGAATGAATGAAATTTTCGTTTTGCGCACGTTCCGACTTGTTGGTTGTATGCATTAATATGGGTCTTTGCATTAATATTGTCTTATGTAATTTGGAAAACAATTCAACCCAAAGTACTTTAATATGGATGTTCAACATTGATTGGCGCACATCATGAATCCGGCATCCTATTTCTACGAAATCAATCCACCCCCAAGTCATATTGTATGTAGGTATTACACAACAATTCAAAAAATGCTAAAAAAATGGCCAAAACACAAGCTGCAACTGTATTCCCAACTGGTGTACCCGGGTACCACGAATTGGTGTACCCGGGTAGGTTGTACTCGGGTATATCATTACGAGTTACCCGGGTAGACCAGTTGATTATGCAGCAGCAGCTGCTGTTCAATCCATTTTTTTTTTTTGCATCTTTTGAATTAATGTGTAATACAATAACCTTAACTGACTCAGGGAAGGGGTAAATGGGTATGGTAGACATTCGGATTGCACAATACGGAATGAGTCACTTGCTAAACTTAACGGATGTCAACATTTACGTTATGCAACACAAGAATACAGTTCAACAATACATTTCAACAACACAATACATAACTAATACAAGATAAAGTTTAGGGTACAAGGAAACAAAACAATACGTAAAGTGATTGTCATTACAAAACAAAGTACTACACAGAAACAATACGTAATCATGCTTGTCTTAGTCTCAATGGACATGTACGAATGTTATGTCCAACTTGCTTGCAATGCTTACATCTGCTCTGACTGCTCGAGGGTTGAGACTCAACCCAATCCATCTCATTCTGAATCCTTGAAGACTTTGGTCTTCCTTTTGCACGTACCAACCGGGAATCCAGAATTACAGTAGGCCCAACAACGGATGGAATCAACAATTCATTGCCAATAGGAAACCAGTGTGCAGCATATACTTTAGCAATGGTTGGGATTTTGAAAACATGATCCACATAATCATAATGGTTTAACTTGGCTACCTTGCAAACTGCTAATACATGACTGCAGGGATACCTCCTTGCTGTAAACCTACCACACTGACATGTACGATTGATTAAGTCCACTCTCATGGTGTCACCAACCTCGTGTGTAGATTGATTGTAAGCATCCTCAACCTCAAACAATAACAGCTCACTATCATATATCCTCACACGATAAGTGCCGACCAATTCATCATTTTTTTGCAAAGCTGCCTCAACCTTCTTTGAGATTATCCAACCTTTTGAGATATCTTTTTCAATCCCTTCACGTCTCTTGACGAAATACTCAACGAGTCTACTGAATGTCATCTTGACCAATGCAGTTATAGGCAGATTACGTGCTCCACGAAGCACCTTATTCACACACTCAGATAGGTTGGTTGTCATATGACCAAACCTACGTCCTGTCTCATCATACGACCTGCACCATTGCTCTTTCGGAATCGCATCCAACCATGAAGCAACTTCAGGATTGTTCTCGATAAATTCCTTGTATCTAATGTCGAAATTTATCTTTGAACATGTGTACCCTACAAAACAACCATGACATATGCAATTGGTTAGTGAATTTCATCAACGTTAACTTCAAATGGTTGAAAATATGAGTAATTATACCATACATTACCTAATTTCATCAACGTTTTCTTCAATTCCACATTCCTAAAACGGGTATTGAAGTTGCTTCCGACGTGACGTAGACAAAATACATGATAATCATATGGAGGCTGCCACCCTCCGTGATCTTTCACCGCCCTTATGATGCTTCGATGACGATCGGATATTAGACAAATACCATGCCTATGTGTGACATGAAAAC